AAAAAAAAAAAAAAAAAAAAAAAAAAAAGCTGCACTTCCTTTGTGAAAAGAGCCACAAAGCACCGTTAGTGTGTTTTAACCTTCTGTGTTGAAACGTTCAGCACCCCAGTTCTGCACATCCCTCAGAGGGTCCCAATGGAGTTCCCTTATAGGGGACCAGTTCTGCACATCCCTCAGAGGGTCTCAGTGGAGTTCCCTTATAGGGGACCGGTTCTGCCCAGGCCTTTTTGCTTCTTGTTTCATATTTTAACCGAAAGCGAGGGTTGGAGGTTGCAACAGTGGTCTGTCTTACTTATTTTTGGCACTGTAGGCCTCCATGTGGATTCTGACCAGAGAGCCACTAAATTATAGTGTATCCATTCCGAATCCCATAGCCAGCATTCCCTGCTGATGTTGTCTTTGTCACTGCAGAAAGCCTGCCTCGCTGTGGTGCCCTGGAAAGCCTGGTGAGTGACGTCCCCGAGGATGCCTGGAATGACCGCACAGTACACAGAGTTAGTGCAATCCGGTTTTTGGAAGATGAGAAGGATGAAGACGAAAGCGAAACGGTATGGGGGTGGACATTCATCCAGGCTGGGCAGTGGCGCCTAATGTGGGTTTTCTTTTCTTTTTTTAAAAGATTTATTCATTTATTATGTATATAGTGTTCTGTCTGCATGTATACCTGCAGGCCAGAAGAGGGCGTCAGATCTCATTACAGATGGTTGTGAGTCGCTTTGTGGTTGCTGGGAGTTGAACTTAGGACCTCTGGAAGAGCCAGTGCTCTTAACCACTGAGCCATCTCTCCAGCCCTGGTGTCTTCATTTCTTTGTGATAGTTTCCCCTTTTGTCCCCATATTTTTCTCTAAAATTGGCACTTGCTTTTTTTCACTTGTGTGAATGAAATCCTTTCCTATCTCCAGTACTGCTCACGACTGGGCTGCGCTAATTCCGTTCACATGTCATTGTGTGACTCAATACGAGACATCTCTCTTCTGGCATATTGGACCACCTTGGCCCTTATGTAGAGTGTTGTGATCTTGGCTGAACTATCTTGGCAAGTTTCCATTTAGAAATCAGAAATATATTTGAAGCTCAGCTCTCCCGTTCATATTTGAACATGTCTCTCAGACACACTGTGTCTTGGCTCTGAACTTGATACTGAGGCTGGTTCTTTTCTGAAAAGATTTTCATTTTCAGTCACGTGTGTGCATGTGTGTCTCTCTCTGAGTATGCATGCTGCCCAGGGAGGCTGGAAGAGGCTGTCGGGTGCCCAGGTACTGGCTGTAGTCACAAGCAGTTGTGATCCACCCAGCATGGGTGCCTGGGGCCTCTGGAGGAGCAATGGTGGCTCCTCACCCCTGCACCGTTTCTCCAGCCCCCACACGAGCTCCTTAAACTCCAGCAGTTGGGCTTTCACAAGCAGTCAGAGAGGTGTTTGCAACCCCTCCCCCAGACAAGGGCTACTTTAAATTTGTCTTCAGTAGTCCAGCTCTCACCAGAGGGGCTCAGTAGGGAGAAAAGGGGGAACCAGGCACAGTAAAGGAACTTCAAAGCCGGTGTTTCGAGCCCAATTATTTCCGTGGTTGTTTCACTACCTCGGTAATGCGCTTTGTTAGGCTAATGTGCTCGAGGTAGGTCTTTGGGAGATGGAAGCGCTGCTTTGTGAGATAATGAGCTTCCAGATATTAATTGAGGGGGAGATGCTCTGCCTGCTCAGCCCTGTCACTTACTCTCAGCGCTGTGGTCTTTCTTAGAAGAGCGTGTTCTTTCATCAGGGCAGCGAATGGCACGGCAGTCCCACCAGTAAAGCCTTCTTCTTTGCTTTCTCTTCTTCAGCCCCTGAGCCTCGAGGGGGTAAAGGAAACCAGAGCCACTCTGAGTAACAGAAGAGCATTCTAGTAAATTTAATTTAGGATATTTATTTGGTTTTCTTCTTTATTCTATAATTATATCTTAAAATTTCCATCAACACATAGAAACTTATTTCATACTAATATTCTTAAATGTATTCCTTTATTCTAAAAGTAATGTGTTCCATCATGACTGCGATGTTCCTTCAGTGTTCTGTGAGCTCTGGGTGGGCAGCCCAGGAGTGCACAGAGTTGGGAAGAAAGCTGCTTTCCTGGGCTGCGGGTTTCTGAAGCTGTCAACTATGTATTGGAATGCTCATGCTCTGACACTCGGGCCTCTGTTTGCTTGCAGAGAACTCTGCAGAGGCGAGCCACGCCACACCCAGGGGAGTTAAAGAACATGAAGAAGACGGCGGAAAATTTACGGAACGACATGAATGCTGCTAAAGGACTGGATTCCAACAAAAACGAGGTCAACCACGCCACTGACCGAGTGACAACGTCGGTGTAGCATTCGCCCCGAGTTCTACCTGCTGTGTCTTCCCTGCTGCGCGCCGGAGGAGCCTCCTGCCGTCCTGTGTCCACCATCCCCGTGCCAGGATGCCGCTCTCTCGCACCAAGTGCCTTACGCATCCCTCAGTCACTCATCGCACCCACTGTTTCTCAATCCCAGTTGTTCATAATAAGTAGAATACACTACTGTCAACCTCTGACCTTCGTTTTTGTCTTATGTCGGGGTTAGAGCAGGAAGGGGAATTACGGCCCTCTTCCCTCCATTGAGTGCTGGACATTTTGAACCTAAGTTCTTATGGACCGACTGATGAGAGGAAGCTTTATGTATGGGAGAAAAAGATACTTTTTTTTAACCTTTCTTGGCAGCTCAGATGGTGTAAATTTTAAAATTTTGTATAGGTATTTCGTAACAAAAATTATGTATTTCTTTGTTATTTTATCTTGAAGACGGTACATATTTTCATATTTGTGGAGAAAAGCAAATTAGGCCTAAAGTATTCGTTTCTATCTGTACCATCCACTTCGTGCCTTACTGTATCCTGTCCTGTCACACCAGTTGTAAACAGTGGCATCCGTGAGCAGCAAGATGGGGGTATGAGTGTGGTCGTCTTAAAGCAGTATTGCAGTTTGAGTAGTAATGTACCAGATGGATTTATTTTTTAACCAAAAAGATGAATTTATCAGTGATTTGTAAGTTTCATCCGGTGATTTCTTCGAAAAGATGAGCCAAAGGATTAGACTGCTGCTGATACGTCACTTCATATGCTCGCCCTCGTCCTCCGTTCTGAGTGCAGCACCAGACTGTGCCTGCGCCAAAGGTGTGTGCCATTTGTGTAACGATGTACAGCAGAAAAGCGCAGAAGAAAAAAGAAAAAGCCTGGTTCAGAAATTCAGTGGATCAATAACTTATGTACTGCAGAAGAATGACTTTTATTGGAGAAAGCTTTAAAAGTTTTATATCCAGATAAAAGACCACAATAAAGCAAAATAACCTATACCCCAATAGAAACGTTGCTATCTTTATACAAGTGCACTTTGATTTGTAAATAGTTTTAATCAAAGCATAACAAAACACTGCTTCAAGATTTCCTTCTAAATCTGCTAAGTTAAGGGGTCTGTTTTTAATGTGTTTCTGTTGCTTCCTTTATGTATGCTGTGATGAAAGAGACATGCAAAGTGCCAGGCGCCGTGTGGTATGGGCGAAATCATGGGGTTTTGGGGAGGAAGGGGGTTCCCTGTGAAATAAACTCATCATGGACATTGGCCATATAGCTTTTTAAGAATTATTACTTTGTGTGTTCAAAATGGTAGCGGGTAATTGAGTTCTTGGGTAGAGTATTTCTGTCTGCTGAGTGTCTAGGTTTTAGCCAATTTCGAGAAGCTTCTGGTGAGATTTCATTCATGAGTCATTTTTCCACACAGGGCAGAGCCCAGAACTCCTTCAGTGTGGGTTCATCATTGTGAGCTGTGGCATCTGGCCAGTTGGACTCCTTGGAAACCCGCTCTCAGCCAGGCAAATGCAATTCCTTCTCTTGTGTCCATCAGCTTAGGTCAGTACCTGCCGCCACTGTTGCTGTGCCCGTGTGCCCATGCGTTTCTCACACCCTGGAGGAAGAGTGCATGGTGTGGAATGGTTCTCAGCTTTGCCTACTCATCGGTAGGGACCTATTTTCTTTTCACCATTTTAAGAGTTTGACATACTCTGATTTTTAAAACTTTAAAACTGATAGTTGTAATTCAAGGACCGAATCTATATAAATAGAGAATTTTTACTTTGAGTCATCTTGACTCTGAAAACCAAACCAAACTTTCCCGGTGTATTTTGTTCATGGTTTTCATAGAAAAGCCGCTACTTATCCACTCTGTTTTATCCTGGCTTTAGTGAATGGGTGGAGATAGGGCCACACAGAGATCAGGGGAGGAGAGAGAATTGCCATAGGAAATGCTTTGTGCCTAACTATTTGCTTCCTTCAGCCCCGTTTCCTTTATGCCGTGTCCACCCAGCTGGTTTGTTCTGGTTTGAGTTTGGGGCTTGAGAGGTTTTCTTTCATCTTGACCTTTTTTGTTGGCTGATTCTGTGGCGCTCTCAAACTTCAGGGGGATGGAGCCAAACCTCTGCTCTACAGTACAGTCAGCACCAACTCAACAGCCCCAGCCTGGGGATACCCAGGCTTTCTAGGAAGGGGAAAGCTTCCTGTGGAGTAGCCAAGCTCCTGACCTTTCGCTGGGGTGTCAGGGGCAGGGTGTGAGAGTGGGCAGCACCAGTCGCCACCGCCACTTTTCTCCCTGCCCCTCCCCCGCCCCCCCTTCCTTTAGGAAGGGGTGGAATTCCGTCTTCCACTCTGAGGGTAATAGGTAAAGGAAGGAAAAGATAATGTTTATAGGAACATACTAACCTACGTTCCTTCCACGATCTTTCATTTCCTCCCTTTTTATCAACTGAGTTATATCTCGTGGTTAAAGCGATAAAACAGCAAAGCCCACAACCTTAGAGGAGATAAAGTCAAAGAGAGATAGTCACTAGTGACGCAAGTGGTGACCAGCAGGAGACTGCCCAACCATTACCAACATGGTGGTTTTCTCGCAGACTCTAAAGAAATATTGATAACCCGCCAGTTCTGACGGTTGTCTGTGAGCCTTTTCGCCCGGCGGCCCTTGTGCCATCCTCTGGGAGACTGCCATACCCATGAAGATGAATGAATGGGTGGACGAAGGCCGGGGAAGCCATGTCTGTCAGGAAGGTGACTCTGAAAAGCCAGTCCTGTCCCTGTGAGACTGCCCTCCTTGTGCCATGGGCACCCAGCTTTTCAAAGAACCAATTAAAACAATGTTTTAAAATAGCCCTCAGCTTTTGATGGTGGGAAATTGAAGACACCCCGAAGTAGAGTTCTCGGATGGGTCTTGCCATGCCTGTCACTCACCTTCACCAAGTGTCACCACAAAATCAAAAGGCTTCCTGTTTGAAAAGGTCCTAAAATTACGTTTTACTATCTATGCGAGAAAAAGAAGACCACGCGGGTGCTTAAAAGAAAGGAAGGACGGGAAAGAAAAGAAGGACCTAAGTGTGCTCTCTTTGAAATACCGTTTTGGAGTTAATTTTGAGTCAAGATGCCAGTGAAATCATGGGTTTGAATCCCAGCCATGCCACCTGGATTTGATTAAGCGACTTCGCCTCTAATAGCTTTGAGGGGGACGAAGTGGAATATAGGGAGCACACGCTGTCAGGAAATTGATGGTTGCTGTTATTACAGGCCTTGCTGCTGTGACAGTGATGTCACTAGGAGCTCCGTGATCCATACCGGCTAGAGTATGTGAGCAGGCAGGTGGCATCCTCAGGCGCACTCACTACTGGTCACCTTGCCTGCAATCTCTCCTGTTGTTTTAGATACAGGCTGCCATGTCATATGAGGGGAACTTTTTGCTTTGTAGCTCAGCAAAAATTTGCTGGCTTCACACTGGCAGTCCTCCTGCCTCCGCTCCCTGGTGCTAGGGTGGTAGACTTGCACTACGGTGACTAATTGATGATAAGTGCATTTTAATTAGTTTAGTTAATGGTTAGACTCCCAACGGGGTCTGTCAAACTTCCTCCTTTTTCCTGGACATGCGAACTGCTCTTAAAGCTGGGCAGTGGTGGCCCATGTCTCTGAATCCAGCACTCTTGAGGCAGAGGCAGGCAGGTCTGTGAGTTCACAGAGCAGGTTCCAGGACAGCCAGGGCTACAACAGAGAAACCCTGCTGTCTGGAAAGTTTTTATGAAGAAACCATTGAGTACCTGATCAGGGCAGGCAGGGAGGCCGACTCTCACAAAAACCGTTTGCATTTTGCCTTGACCTCACTTTTATATTTTAAGTCAGTGGGACTCATTTTATTCCTCATCTTAACTCTCACCCTGCCTTTTTTTTTTTTTTTTTTTTATGATCTCCTCCCTTTTGACGAACTATGTTCTGTCTCTTAAAGGAGCTCCTAGACTGGACCAGGTCAGGCGGGGAAGTAGCTTTAAAACACTCACCATAGAGAAAACCCCCTGGAAAGGATGGATGCGCTCGCTCGTGCAGCCTGCGCTGGGAGGGTGGAGTTGCGTCGCTGGGCGCTGGGCGTTTCAAAAGCAGAGGCAGCTGGCTGGAAAGGGAGACCAACAAGAAGAACCTGCTGGGGAGCCTTCCCCAGCCTGCTAAGCTGCGGCTGCAAGGAGGTTTTTGGTTCTCGCCCATTGCCCAGAAGGACCGTAATTTTAAACCATGAGAGCAGGCTGACAGTCACCATGACTAGAGTCTGCTGGGGTTGATTTTTTTTTTCTTTCATTTCTTTTGAGGCATCAACATTTAACTTCTAAAATGATGACTGCTCCTGGTTAGGTAGGAGATACATGGCCTCCGCCTCCAGGTGCCTCTCCACCAAGCTAACTGAACACACTGTGCTTTCCAAAATAACCCTGTGGCGGAGATCACGGTTCCTCTCGGCAAAGCTGTGAATTAAGATTCAAGCCATTTCATAAATAAGCCCAACATCAAGCTAGAAATCAAAGTCGGAATTTAAATTTGCTCCTCTGCTGACTCGCATCTGCCATGGCAATTTTGTTTTCGTTTCCTGCCCTCTTCCAGCCACAGCTGTGAACCTGCAGTTACATTTAGAGGCGTATTTATAGTGGTGAGGAGGCTTCTGTCTGAATGTACTCGGGTAATGCGGGCCTAAATTATGGACAGACATTGGCATGGAACTGCATGCGATTTTTGCAGAACCGGGCATCGTTATATCTAGTCGTGATCGGTCCCGCCCACCTCTCTCACACTCCACACCATGGTGTCCTATTTAAGTACTGCAAAATCCCCACGGGGGCTGTTACTCAGCCGTCCCAAGTGCTGCGAATCGTAAGGAACTTGGGAGATAACACCTGGTTAGTGCATGATCAGAACAAATGGATGTTTCCACCTTAGCTGGAGAGGCAGCTTAGGAACCCACTCTCAGAATTAGCATGTCCCAGATAGTGGCAGGCAGCTCTGGAGTGGGCCAATCATTTAGAAATGGATGTTCTGAAGGTAAGGGTTTGTTATTTTGTTCATTTTTTTGTTTTTTTTTTTTTTTTTTTTTTTTTTTTTTTTTTTTTTTTTTTTTTTTTTTTGGGGCTGTTTTTTTTTGTTTTTTTTTTTTTTTTTTTTTTTTTTTTTTTTTTTTTTTTTTTTTTTTTTTACCTCTGTGCGGTTGTGAACAAGACTGGCAGAGTTGCTGACTGTAACTTTCTTGAGCAACACTTGGAATTTTTAACATTTTAGAGGCTATTAGCTTAAGTCAGATTTTAAAAAGAATCAGTAAATATGCAAAACTTTTCATTCCTATAATATAAAACTCTTTGCATACATGATGCTTGTGCTGTCTGTTCATGTCATTGCGGCTGAGAGTCAAACCCAGGACCTTGTACATGCTAGACAAGTGCTCTACCACTGAGCTGTGCCCTCCTTCCTATAGTGTACATTCACGTATGCATGTATGTATGCATGTGTGTACGTATGTATGTATGCGCATGTCTCTATCACAGTGTCTACCCCCACACACATACACAAAATTTTAAACCTCCTGAGTTTGAATGTGCATCAACAGATTGGATATATAGAGAGAAAGGATGTTAGGGTAGCACAGGGGATTTCACTTGCTGCCTTGCTTGAGGAACAGACAGAGCTTAGCCAGGAGAGGGTGGAGAGGACAGCTACTTTCCCTAGATTCCTCAGATATTGGTGTGAGCTCTTCATGGCAGGGAGGTGAACATAACCTTCATTAGTGAAATATTGCCTTGTTCCTGTTGAGATAGAGGCCGCACCGAAAGCAACGTGGGGAAGAAAGTGTTTATTTTATCTCATACTTTTAAGTACCACCCTAGCACCGGGGGAAGCTGAGGCAGGAACCTGGAGGCAGGAACCGAGGCAGAAGCCATGGAGGAGGACTACTTATTCTTGCTACCCCATCTCACTTAGTTTGCTTTCTTATACATCCTAAGACCACCTGCCCAGGAGTGGCATCACCCACAATGATTTGGGTCCTTCCACACTCATCATTAATCAAGAAAATGCCCTGCAGACTTGCCTGCTTGGCAGTTTGGATGGAGGTCATTTCTTAATTGAGGTTCCTCTTCTCAGATAACTATAGCTTGTATTAAGTTGACTGAAAAACAAAACAAACAAAAACCCAAACCAACCAGGACAATTGACCCCTTGCCAGCTTGACACACGAACACATCACTTCAACTGTAAATGTTTCTTCCTTATTCATACCCATAA